ACCCTTTAGATTGGTTCGAAATGCAGTTTTGAAGTTTAAATTAATAATAATTCTCGTTGCCTGTGACAAAGTAATCCTTTGCGTGCCATATGTAAAGGAACACATACCTTTAGAGAAGAAATGCTTATGAATTCCATTGCTGAAATGCTTATGAATTCATGTGAATTGATTGCATATTTTTTCAACCATTTTCTCTTTATGGTTTCATTTTTTTCTCTGAATTGTAGTATTATTTGTTTTCACATTGTTCTTTGTTAGTTCTATATGTTCTGGGTTTTTTATGTACACTAATATATTAATCAAAAACAATGGTCAAGACCCTTAAGTTCCCTCTAAATTTGAAGATGTGCTTTCTTGATCATTTTCAGAATTCCATTGTATAAAGTAAAATATTTCCCATATGGTAAACATTTTTATCTCTGTTGAATGATTATTTCATTAAATTAAATTTCATGCCTGGAGCATTTTAATTATCTGTTAATATGTTTCCATCTTTAAGTTATTATAATTTATTGAGCGATCAAGGTTTGAGGTCGGAAGGAGCACTTAACTGATTTTCTGTTCAACTGAAACATTTCTAGTAATTCATTTGTATAGTTTACCTTTCCAGACATTGATTTTATCAAAGAATCAAATTAAAGACTGGCCAGGTTCAATTCTTCAATCACTTTCGAGTCTGTCTTGTTTGAAGCTGGACTACAACCCCCTCAGACAGGTAATGACTAATGATTTCGGAGTTTCTCTCTGTTCTTTTGTGGGTAAAATGAATTATGGTATCAGCGTGTATAAAGAATCATTGTAGGACATAAGACTTTACTAGTAAAAACTATTATGTTTTTTCCAATTGTAAAATCTATATAAATAATTCTCCTTCTTTATCAATGGAGACTATTGCTTTTTGTATAACTTAAAGAGCTATATTTAGATAATTCAAACAAAATAGGCTGTGCAAGTTTAATTCCTTTATTGATGTATTAGTCTTCTAGTTTTTATGCTCTACTCTGTTTCTACTGCTAATGTTTCACAACTTTCATCCCCTCCCCAGTGAAAGGAAAAAATAGAGAAATTGAAAGGTAATCAATGCCTAGAATGTTAGTTGTTAGTACTTAAAATTCATTAGATTTGTTTTCTTATAAATGCCACATACTCTGCTGTATAAGATGGAACATTTCCAGATTCCAGAAACATCTCTCTTGTCTCAGTGTATACCTCAAATTATTGTGCAGAAATTGTAATGGTAATATTAAATATGTATCGGTATGCTTTATTCTCTGTTATAAATTCAAATCAAAAGTGTGGCATCACCAACCTTATATTTCACTTGAATGATAGATACCTTCAAATGGTTTTGAAGTGGTGCCTAAGCTTCAGATCCTGGATCTAAGTGGTAACACAGGTTCATTACTAGACAGTCCCTCATTTTCTAGATTGCCAAACCTGCAAGAGCTTTACCTGAGGTTAGTTAGTTAAAAACTGTAGGATGTGCAATAAGACTTTATCACACACATGCACGCTATTTCTTGGGAACCTGTAATTAACTTTCATGTCACAACTCCACAGAAAAACGGGTCTCACTGAAGTCCCATCAGATATATTGGGATTGCGTCAACTACGAATCCTTGACTTGAGTCAGAATTCCCTTCAATCGGTTCCAGAGGTAACTTTTTTTTTTTGGGTGATAAAAAACATGGATTAGGCTTGTGCATGTATATACCTCTTTGATTCAGATCCTGTGAAAAGTTGTGATAATATGCTTCAACTTTATTTTAATTTGAGATTAAGTTTACCTTAGGTCCATCATTTTGTATATATGCCTCTTAAAATTCAGACCTATCCAAGCTTATATTGGCTCGACCGTAACTTGAGTCCACTAATTTTTCTCTCAAGTCATAATGATGTCCATGTTTTGTAATTCTCTATGATAGGTAATGTATTTTTACATTTGCATATTCATAGAATCGGATTTCTGTCTGCATAGTATGCGGGTTGAAGAAAAATCTCACAGTTCAATTGAATTCCTAACCATATTTTGTTAAAACATTAGTGATTGAAAAGAAGACTTACGTGTGTAGTTGACTAGTGAGGGTCTAAGTTATTCGCACACGGAGGCAATCTCAACACATAAAACCTTTCTTATAGATGAATGATCTATTTTTAAGATAGTATATTTTTTCCATTGGTCCTTTTTGATTTTTGATGTTTTGCTCACCTAGTCACCTTTCAACTTCTTTCAGGGGCTAAAAAATATCACCTCTCTAGTGGAGCTTGACCTATCCGATAACAACATCTCTGCCATTCCACCTGAGCTGGTAAGAAACATACACTGCTCTCTCATTTAACTTTTCTTTTTCCTTTCTAAAATTATTATGCTCATACAAATTTAAACTTAGAGAAATAGGTGGTACTATGCTATACATCTCAATGATGTTTGGTGTGTAAAACTGTTAAAAACGAGAAAAGAAAAGAAACAAAAAGAGAAAAAGCAGATGGAAGTTATTTTATCCTACTCAATGCTGTCATTTTTTATCTGCATTAGTCGGGGATTGTTTACATTGCTCTGATTCAACTCATTTACTTTAATCAGGGTCTGCTAGAACCAACTCTTCAGGCATTGAGACTTGATGGGAACCCACTTAGAAGGTGACTTTCTCCTGCCCCGCTTTTCTATGAGCTTTTCTCAAAGTGTAGAACTTTTCGTGACAATAGTTTGTATTCTCAAGTTAAAAAAGGCTGTTGCATATATTTGCACTTTAGAAAATTAGAAAATTTACAATTTCCTAATGCAGAAAGATTCATAAATATCATTGTCGATAAGTAAACATTTAAAGATTATGTTCCTTTCTTAGAACTCAAGCATGGTCAATTTTGTATTCTCTAATTAAGCAAAAACACAGCATATAGATCAGCTAGATCTTCTGGAAAGCTTGGTTAATAAAATCATCACAATGTTTCTTTATTTGTTTCAGCATTCGGAGGCCTATCTTGGATAAAGGAACTAAAGCTGTTCTGAAATATTTGAAGGACAAATTGCCAGCGGATTAGTTTCCATTTTATATATTTCGTGAAAGGATTATTTTCAGACATTAACTAAAGCTGTAATTTAATTTGATTTATTATATCTAAAGCTTTTTGTATTTTTTGGTGCATAAGTATGCATGACTTGATTATTGTGTATATCTATAGGGTTGTAATTCTATGGGGTTGTAATTACATGATGATGATTATAAGTAGGGGTAATTCTGGTTTTATAAGTTTGCTTTGATGACTTGAATTAGACTTGGGAGCGTAACTGAGTTGAATTATTTGTATATTATTTAGACTTGACTTGTTAAAGGACTAACGATGTTTGTTTGGTTAAAATATATTCACACTTGAAGTTGAGATTGCACTTGATTATTTAAATAGGTAAGTCTAAGTCTTATTAGAAGAGAATTTAAGCGGTTACACTTAGCTTATACTTGTCATTCTACAGATTGAGTGAATTGAATATATTATCCTTTCCAACTTTAAAATCATTCTTTTTTAAATCAGCGTAAAATTCTCGCATTTAACATAATTTATTTGGTAATTCTTGCATTTAACAAAATTTATTTGGTGATATTGGAAATTTTATTAAAAGTAAGAATTTTTTCAACTTTCATATTTATTTTTTTGGCAATGTTAAAATATATGGTAGAAAATCATAGCTTTAATGGATTTTTATTGAAAAATTTGAAATTTCTGGTAAAGTATCCAAAATTTTGGATAAAAACTCTATTTTTTCAAAATATCAGTATTAGTTCAAAGATATTCAGTTTTTTTTTTATTATAAAAATTGATATAATTTAATACCAAAAAGTTTAAAATGAATTACAGAAAATTGGTCAATTGTCGGAAATTTATAATGAACTATAGGAAATTAGGAATTACTTTTTCCATCCTTAGAGTGTGGTTCACACTATTGAAAATCCAAATTTGTCTTCGGATATTTTTGGAGATACGTCTTCAAACACACTCTAAAGCACCTCATCTTTCGTAAATAAAGCAACCACTTCATTTTTTTTCTAAAATTTGTTCGAAAATGCATCTGAGAAATTTTCTAGGGTGTATTCAGAGATGCATATTCGAAAACAACCCTGAACCTCATTTACTTCTCATTTTTCATTTAACTGATTTATTTAACCATTCAATGACATTTTCGAAAATGCATCTCCAAAAATGTGAAGTGAGAAATGGAATATATCACTTCCATAATCCAAAATCCTTAAAAAAAATTCACTCTCAATCAACTTTTTGACTCTAAATCATCATTCTTGTGTTTTATCACATCAAATGGAGCAAAAGAAGTTGCAATTTAAGGTAAAATCACTCATTTCATCCCTCATTGCTTGCATTAATCTTCTCTGAGCTGGAAAATGAACGCTGGGTCCTAATGTGCATATTCAAATTTACCTAGTCATATTTCAAATGTGCATATCTGAAATTTCCTGCTACTGTGAGTTTTTAAAACAAATTTTCTGTTTTGGTTCGTATTAGATATGATGCACTCGCATATGTTTCCCAAAGCTGATGTAGTAAAGGATGAAGTTAAACCGGATAAAGTGAATGATGATGTTAAACTGATTGTTGTCGAGATAGATGTTGGTCAACATTTTAGAAATGAACAACTGTTTACTACTCGTGAGCATATGCTTGAATGAGTCTACATTGAGGTCATGAAATTGAAATTTGACATGGTAATCGGAAGATCTGACAATGGTTTCAATAGAAGGCAAACATTTGCAACCATGAGATGTGAGAGAAGTGGCACATATGTTCTATCAATTCAAAAGTTGAAACTTGATGATACCGAATCAGGAAAATGTGACTGTCTGTTTAAATTACGCGGATACTATAAAACGAATGATACATGAAAATTTAATGTGATTTATGGTACACATAATCATACTTTGCAAACCGAGCTAGTCGATCATCACATCATATGTCGCTTTAAACCAAATGTGAAGGGAATTATTTCGAACATGTCTTTAATCAGGGTGGCGCCGAAAAACATACTTGCAGATATAAAACAAGAAAGACCTGAAAGTGTTTCAAATATCAAACAGGTATGCAATGCACGTTATCGAAACAACATGGCGATAGAAGGTCCTATATCTGAAACGCAACAACTTTTGAAGCTTTTGGATGATAACCATTATGTTTCCATGTACGAACTTTGTGAGGATAAAGTCACTGTTCATGACATATTTTGGACTCATGCCGAAAGTATCAAGTTATTCAACAGATTTCCCACTGTCCTCATAATTGATTCAATGTATAAAACTAACAAGTATAAGCTTCCACTTCTGGAAATTGTTGATGTTACTTCTACGGAGAAGACTTTTTAGTGGGATTTGCATGTCTGGAATCCGATAAAGAGGTTAACATTACACGGGCCTTGGAAATGTGCAAGACTTTGTTGAATGACCAAGAAAATATGCTAAATGTAATTGTCACTGATTGAGACACCGCGCTGATTAATTTAGTTTCAAAGGCGTTCCCTACATCCCATGCATTACTTTGTCGATATCACATAACAAAAAATGTAAGAAGTCAACCCAAACTCGCGGTATACACCAAATAAATCAAGGGTGAAGAAAAAAAATGTTCAAACTTGGTGTGGTGTTGGAAAAGATAATGGATGCATGGAATGTTATATTAAACTCATGCACTGAAGACTTGTATGGTGCCTGTGTAATGGATTTTAGGAGTGTGTGTCAGATATCCAGATTTCTCGAAATATGTTGAGAGTACTATTCTGGACCTAGTGAAGGAGAGGATCGTTTGTGTTTGGACTGACCAGGTTAGACACCTCAATAATACAACAACTAACAAAGTCGAATCTGCACATTCGACACTAAAGAAATGGTTGGGAGATAGTAAGGGTGATTTTTATAGAGAGTGAGATGTTGTGAACCAAATGCTCCTAAACCAATATAATGAAATACAAACAACTTTTGGTCGGAGCATTACCGTGTTAGAACACCGATCCAAAGACAACACTCTCTATTCGAACTTGGTTGGCAACTTATCTCGGGCTGAGTTGAATTGAATTTTTCACAAAGCAAAGCGAGCAAAGAAGACAGGTTCTGATAGTTCAAAGTGTGAATGAACACTTAGGAAGACTTACGGTATTCCATGTGCTTGCATCACTTCAAAAAAGATGAAGCTTGATGCCCAATACGTATGGATGAAGTATACAGTTATTAGAAAAGGCTCCGATTTTATGATGATTATGTGATGAAGGATGGTAAAACATGTATAATTATCATTAGCAAGTGGGAAATAATACAAGATAGATTTTATAAAGCAGATGACGCCATGAAAATACACATCAAACAGGAGTTGAGGAAGATTACCTATCTAGAAACCATAGATTTGAAACCTCATTCGGAACCGGGTAAAACCAAAGGTGCCCCTAAAAAGGTCAAATTGACACAATATGACAATTTGACGAAGCGGTCACCTTCATACTTCGAACATGTTAACTCACATTTACCGGATTCTCCAACTCCAAAATCTCAAAAAGTGTTTACAAGGGTGCACACATTATCAAATCACCTTCTTCACTGTCAATGCCAAAAATTATTTACATTGAAGACATGCCTCTTTTTATGCGAAAACTCATCGAGCAGATTGTAAATGTTAAGGGTGATGGTAATTGTAGTTATTAAGTTGCATCTGGCTTGCTCGGTAGAGGAAAGAAGAATCACTTTCTTGCCTGCAAACAAATTTTGAAAGGGTTAACGTCGTATAGGGAATTCTACACATCACTGTACGAGAAAAAAAAAAGAACATCTTGATGTAATTCACAATGATCTTATTCCTTGTGTTAGAGGTCCCATGTCTAAGTCAAAATGGACGTGGTTCCCGGAAATGGGCCATTTTATATAAAATGCATATAAGATGGTGTGCATCGATCTGATAAGATATGGTTTTTCGAAGACATTTTTTCCACTTCAGAGTGACCCGACTTAAGATATATCTGGATGTATCATGTGTATTGGGTGGGTGGCTTTTAAAATCGCTAACTTTTGTTGAGATTTATTTGAAATCGGAGTGTCCTATACCAAGTACATCATTGGAGTGGACGACACATTTCACAAAAGAGGCAGAAATTTGGCCGGATAAATTTTTGGAAAGGACGGAAGAGTTCACCAAATTGAGAGAGATTAAAAGAGAATCAAATAAGGAAAAGTCAAAGGAGGAACCAATAGTAGATTTATGCGGCGATGCATCTTTTAATATATTTTAGATTGTAATCGATACATTTTTTTTTGAATGTATTGTCATTAAAGATGTAATCTTGTTACAACTTAATACATAAGTAATATATATTTAGCAAAGATGGTGTAGATTTTGATTGTTTCAGTTTACAAATTTTATGGTTTACATTTTATGTTTTTGTTTACACTATTTCTAGTGTGATTTTAGTTCAGGGTGATTTCGGATATACATATTCAGATACATTCCACAATTGATTAAAAGAAACACAATAGGGCAGTTTAGGATGTACATATCCGTAAACACCCTTTTTTTCATAAAAAATAGGGCTTATCCAAATACGCATCTCGGAAAACAACCCTGATGACAAGATAAGGTTTTTAAGGTCCAAAGTGACCCAAATCTTGTAAAAATAGGGTGCCTATGATTCCATATTTTCTTCAAACACACCACAATCAGAGAATGAATACATATCCCCATCTTACATTTATGTATTTCAATGGCGCGAAGCCGCCATTTCAATTTAGGGTCATCGATGACACACCTATCACTGATCTGATATCTAAACTAAATACTCTCCTGCAATATCTATAAAATCAGAGAGTTTTCGAGCTCGAGTATCGTTCACCTTCGTTTGACAGCGAATGGAAGATATAGTTGACCAACTTTGAACTGGATATATATGAAGATTTAAAGGTCATGTGAAGTACATTTTACCGTTACGCATCAAAGGGTCCAATTAAAGTTGATGTGAAGATTGCAAGATCCATTGACGATATTATCAAATGTTGCAACATCCTGAACTACCCATTTATAAAGATATGTAAGTTTAAATTTATGTTAACATCTATCTATGTAATATTGAATGTTTTAATTTGATGTCAAGATGTTTTTGTTTCTAGATCTTGTTCATATTGTCTCTGCTTCTGGTTTGAAGTAGCAGGGTCATTTTCGAATATTCATCTCTGAATTATACCAAATACGATTTTGGAGATGCAACTCAAGATTAAAATTAAGTATAATAGGGTTGACTCACTCATTAGTATTCAACTTTGTAGGAAATAGATGCGTCCGGAGATGCATCTCGAAACTCCAGAGACATTTTTGGGTTTTCACCAAGGATTTGTGAGAAGGTATAAAGGTGGGAAAAGAAATTCCCTCGAAAATTTAGTTTGCAAGTTTTGACCCAAATTTGTTCATAGGCAGTTCTTGAATTAACAAAATATGTGGGAGTGACAAGTTTAATCTTGGGGTGACAGGTCCAATTCTCTTATTATAAGCATTTCATTGTGTTAGAACATAAAGGCACCTTCTTTCTTGGATCTGCCGAACAATGGATATATAGCTAAATTTTAACCAACATATTCACCATCACAAGAAGTTTCGTTGGAATTTTATATAGACTATATTCTAGCGCAGAACAAAAAAATGGGCAGTAGATAGGTGATGTCTACTGTGTAAGATTTTTGATGATCGAAGATAGATGTACTTGTAAGTTTAGCATTCCAACATTTAAATTAAAGTTATAGAAGTGGAACTTGCAAATATGTAATAATTCATATTTTAGTGTGAAGTGGAGTTACACTTATACACGAATAAGACTAATTACAATGGTAGATTTATTTAAAGTCAACACCACAAAATCATGTGCAATGGGTGTGTAATGTAGTGTTGAGTGTGTGTTGGAGGAGAGAGATGTTGAGAAAACTCAACACCATTTAATCTGCCACGTGGCTGTGTTTGATTGGCTGACCAGATTTTTATCCATTTAATACTTTGAACTCAATTATTTCGTTGCAAATTAATTTTTTTTTTTTTTTTACCAAAATTCATGATTTTTTTCTCTCTATAAATAGAGACTTGGTTCATTTGATTTGGACACAGAAAAAAAAACTAAGTTTTTCACTATCTTAATTTTATTATTAGTGTTTATTTTGATTTGTGTGTTGTATTGCATTTTAAATTATTTGTAACGTACTAATTACGTTAATTGTGTGTTGTATTTTAAATTAATTTAAGATGATTTGTATCGTATCCAATTATTTAAATAAATTTTGTTTTTATTACAAAAAATTAAAAAATAAATTATTAAGTATTTATTATTTTAATTTAATTTTAATCGATAATTGTAATTTTATGTAATCATAAAAATAAAAATAAAATTTAAATAAGAATATGAAAATAAAAAGTGGTGGGGTAGGGTGTTGAGTGAAAAACCATTGGAGAGGGTAAAAGTTGAATGGGTGTTGAGTTATTAGGTGGAAGAAAGAGAAAATGATGTGGAGTGTTGGGAGTTGAAAAAATGGGTGTTGAGTTTGTAAACCATTGTAAATGGTCTAACAATTAGAAATGTACCCGGTGGACGAAGAGCCAAGCACGGGGGATTACTGGATAGACCTCAACGTTAAGATGGATCGATGCGTTGCTGTAGTGTGGGGATCCTTGGTGAAATCACATTTATTTTATTTCTTAGGAACACACATTAAATGTTTGTTTACTCATTTGGAACATTGCTTTGAAGAGGACCCCCACTTGGATCTAGGTGTCTGTGGTAGGGGGTGACACCCTTAGGGTACTTGATTGCACGTGAGTTCTGTTAGAAAATCAGGATTGCATCTAGAATGTTGATTATGACTCTTGGTATTTCCTTAATTCTCGACTTTAGGTCTTGGGGCTCCTGGTTTCCTATAAAATATGGGAGTGCACTCAGTTACTCTTTTAGATTTCCTTGCTTCAAAATGCTATAACTTCTCTTGCTTCTTTTATGATATTTGTATCCTTGCAATTTTTCTCCATTCTTCAATCTTCATTATCGGTAGAAAAATATCTCAAGGGTCTTTGGTGATTTCTCATTTCCATCCTTCGAAACATGCAAACCTCAAAGGTATTATTCTCTATGATAGTTATCTAGACATTTCCAACATAGGAAACCCATATACCATATTCCTAAACTTGGCTAGTGATGATAAATTTAGTAATGCATCATTTCAAACTCAAGCGGAAGTGGTAGACCTAGTAAACTTAGAAGTGTCGTTTGGCGAAGTGAGGAACTCGGCAACAAACATTGTGGAGTATATATAGATAGCCTCAAGAATTTTAAAGATAGGTAGTATTTAGTCACTCC